TTTAACTTGTATACGTTATCATAAAAAAAATTAAATACGCTAAATCAAATTTTATCATTTTTGGAAAACGCTGATAACAATTTTTTGCTTTATAATACTGAGTAGACAATGAAATGTCCTTGAGAATGTTAATTCATTAAGTACAAATGAACTGTATCAGGAATATTTACTACTAATTAAGGAGACACAGTTAACGAGAACTGGAGAGAGAAATTTAGATGGTAAAATCAATATATAATTAAAGAACTGGTATTGGAGTTTAATTAATAGCAGTACATTACATAATACTGTTGGATGTAATAAATATCCTGTTAGTTACAATAGTACATGTGCCAGAATAGAAATTTCTGAATTGTTGTTAAATCATGAATGAGCCTGCAAAATTAAATTAGAAACTTTATTGACTTGTTCGCAATTATATCTATTGCTTTGTTAAACTAAACTCTCAACTTCAGTTTAACAACATATTTTATTATAACTTTTTAATATTGTTGCAAACAGCAGTTATTACATTAGTTCATAACCTCTTCCCAGTTTATTGACGATTACTGTTAATGTGACTGAATCTTACGTGTGTAGCAACAAGTATTTCTTGTTGTTATTATGACAATCTTGTATGTTTGTCATTAGACTGATTTTTTTACAGTTTCTTCATTGGTACCACTCTTATGTTAAAAAAGTTACTACTTTCGTACTGTCCTTGTGTAGCACATACTTAAGTTAAGTTCGTTTATTTCCAATTCCGGGCACAGTTACTAGATCTACTTTACTTTAAAAACTCATTCTATGAACTGATGAAAGTATAAAAGTATAAAAGTTTCCTGTCTTATAAAAATAAAATCAAAATTTTTAAATTCACTAGAAAAATGAACTTCGAAATTTTCGGTAGCGCTAGAACTTGCGAATATTAGTAAATATTTATTATATCTGCAAATTCTCATTAGTTCAACACTTTATGTGATGCGAGTTTGGGAAAACTTCGGTTTATTGCAGCAAATAACCAAACCAAATTAAATCGATCACGCTCCTAGTAGTTTTTTTCCAAGGTTGTAGGCAATATTTACAGATTGCAGTCAGCATCAGATAAAAAGACTCCCAATGGATCTCAAAATAAATCTAAGTGTTTTCTTGCATGCATTGCCCATTGCCGTGGTATAAAATCCCACTTTGATTTCTTTATTCAGCACATTTGATAGATTTTAACAATCATTTTCATTTAAACTATTGCGTTTGTACACGCCGACTCAGTTAGTTTTAGTCCTTTTTCAGCGCTGATTTGGCAAAATTTCAAGATTTTTCTAGTCGCTTTTATTTGCGGCTCAACATTGTGCTTTTACTTGGGTGCGACTCATATTAAGCGTTATTGTCGTAAAACAAAAAGTTAAAATTCACCCCGAGTGGTTGCTCGCGCCCTTGCGTTTTTCTACTAAGAGCTTTTTGGCATAGGGCCCACGCGATAAAATTCTGCGCTAATAGACTCCGACTAAACTGACTGCATAAAAACTAACTTTGATAAGCCGTTGAATACAACGAAACGGTTCAGTTGATACAGCTTGCAGCTAACGAAGTCTCATTGTAAAAGAGTCACGTATCATTAACATTAAAATAAACGATGTATTTTGTAATAGAGTTAGAGGAAAATTCGAAATAAAACAACGAACGTCAAAAATTAAAGAGTTTAGCGTGTATTTTATAATATTATACTGTTTCAATTTATTGTTACAGCGTACAGTTCTTATGATGTTCTTAATAAAAGAGAAAATTTAGTTGGAACAATTTTAACTATGTAACAAGAACGAATAGTGATTTTACCAATTATTATTCGCTAGAATCTAATGGCATCTTAACCAAATTTTTACATTTTCAAAGAATGTCAATGATTACTATAGACAATGGTTTACTGACGTCAGAATAACTACTTTTATCGACACCTTAAAAAATTTTGGGTCTTTATGGTATTACTCATCATACATCGTTGGATTCACATGGGTTCAAAAATTATATTTGAATTATTCAGCAAAATTTTGAAAAGATGTAGGTACATTTTAATCTCCAGTGGTGCTTAGGATAACCTTAAAACGTTTATAAAATTTCAAAGCATTCGGTTTTACAGAAAATGGTAGAAAAAGATCAACATTGTTAAACAATTCTTTGAAAAAGTACAGGATTTCTATAAATGATTATAGGGTAGAAGAAGGTCATGGAAGTGTGCCGCCTATCACTTTTTATTTTACCAAATGCCCAAGGACGCACGACAAATACCAAACGCATCTGTATAACTAGTGGCCTAAATGTTTCGTACCCTATGTTATTAAAAAATAAAACTTATGATAAAAAACAAATTTATTGTGATTAAACATCATATATCATTATAATATAGATAATCGTAATATTAAATATTTTTCAATAATGATTGAAAATGCAACAGATGGCCGATAAACAACATTTTTAAATCTCGCCTTTAATACCATAAAAACTAATAATAAAATAAAAGAATAACTATTTATTTTTCCTGACCAAAAAGGCCTTGTTTGTTTTATTTATTTTCAGACAGGTTTCAAATAATTTTAATAGCATTTATAACATTTGTATAACATTTTGTTATCTATGTAGTTTGAAATTACCATTTCTCAACGAACGGAGTTTCTTTCTCTTATTTTTTTTTATTTGTAGAGTCGTCTCCAAGTTGTTCTACCATTTGCTCCTGCCTTTATATGACATGATGCAGTAAGGATCCTCCACTCTCATAAGATTACTATGCTTTGTCATAACGATATCAAAGATTTGCAAGACAAGAAAACAACTTCACATGTTGCTGTATTGCGAATTCACGAACAAGGATTTATTTCTCGAATACAAGAGTCACGAGAAGTTAATTTATGATCTCGTTTGTGAGCGGTTTCAACATTTAGTAAAATTTTCTTTACAATAATTTGTATATTTCAAATACTCAACTCGACTGCTAGTTGCTTAGATTCTGTTGACTCGTGAAAAATTACTTAATAATTACTACTACCACTAGTGTTAAAAATCAATATCAATCCTCTGAAAAGTTTTAATCACTGACATTTTCTAAATACCGGATCCGACACGGATGATTCTTTAAAAATGTGTCCACCGTCGCATAACCCAATGATTGATTGTCTCTTCGCCTTGATTGATCATCCGACTTCCTTTAAACTGTAGCAAACATCAATTTCTGCTTTTTTATTTTCCTTTTGAAAAATGGCATCCAAGCATTTGCGGAACAAGCGGCGATTGTTTTTTTTATCCAATGAAAGGGCTGTTTAGTGGGGCGATAAAAGGTCTCCGGGCCGCGAATAAATCTATTATAAGTGCTCCGAACACGCCCCCTCAACCCAAATCATATTTCTATGAAGTCAAGGAGCAGAAGATTAAAGTCAACCTCTGTATAATATGTTGTGCACATGAGAGAGTTGCGAACTCACGTATTCCCAAAGCCGAGCCAATTCAAACATAGGCGGCTGCGGCTCGCCATGGCCTGCTCTATATCTCGAAGGCAATAACATACTCCTGATCCCACACTTTGGGAATCCACCGCAAATTGTTGGGAAGAAGGCAAGATTGAACTGCAAATATAAAACGACAAATATCGGGGAAATATTTTGTGTTTAAAGTCGCGTCCTCCGGGAATACGCCAGCACTCGATCAAAAAATACCCGGCGAACTTACAAACACGCCCGGCCTGGCAAAATATTTGCTCGCTTCAACTTGCTCCTGCATCGCAATTAAGACCGAGATGTTGAGTTTAAGTCGAACGAATATAATGCGACCTCTTTGTTGTATGCTCCTCGAGAGCAATATGTTAAAGTTGTGGAAAAGTTGCTTTTATGTTTAGGGCCAGCATTGCGTGAGCTGTGAGTGCACACGCCCTATCAAGAATATAATTTGTCTTTGGATGGTTGTTCTTCGTAGAAACGTGTTCTGTGAAGGGCTTAAATGCATAAACTTTTGAACGCAGATGTTCGCGAACACACGGTCTAAATACAGATGTTCGCCAACAAATTGTTCACTCAAAAGCACCAAATATATATCGTTAAACTTGTTAGAACCAAAGTAGCAACAATTTTAAACTGTGATTCCTGGATTTTTAAAGAGCTGATAATAATTAACCACAACAAAAAACAGCTAAAGAAGGTGTATTTTGTATGCGCTGGTATCTCTACCTGTTGACAACTTCTAGGCACGGTTATCGTGCACTAAATAACTAAAGTTGAAATATAACTGACACGAATGTAAAGTTAATTGATATTATAAAAAATTCACTGCAATGGAACTCCATTTGTTTAAAAAGAAACGAGTTACTGATAAAACGTTCATAATGGAACAGTTTGACCATAATATGTGTTTTGCTGACTGGTGGTATATAATAGATAAATTTCGTGATTGAATTGAAGTGTATGCCGATAATTTCATGTAGGAAGCTAAAATTATATCTCATAGCTACCGAGTGCCTAAACTGTAAGTTGAAACTAAGAGAGTACAAGACGGAAACACGTCCAAGATTTGAAATAAAGAGCTGAATTTAGAAATAGAATCGAAATTGTGCAGAACATTATTGCAGTAGTGATAAGAAACAAAACCGAAGGTAATGTAAGCACCATTATCAATGTAATAGCTATTTTAATAAATTTGTAGAATGTTGCATCAAATAATAACACGACACACTTTTAATAACTTGATAACAAAATATGTAATAAGTAATTTTGACCGAAAGTTTTAGCATCTACATTTTTGTTGTGTATTAACTCTGATCTATTTATTAATCAGGTATTGAAAATGCCTGCACACACCCGTCCATCTTTATTTACTTAACCTATCTGTCCACATCCTCATAGAGCTACAAAATATAGAGAGTCATAACAGTCTCTCCCACTTAACTTAAAAACACATACACGTTGATAATGACAAAATACTAACTTTGAAAACAAACTATGCGAATTCCAATACATTAAAACAACTTAACGGATAAACAACGCCTAATTGAAACATTCCATGTCGTAATCACAAGTCCAATTGGGTTTGCGTCTTAACCTCTGAGGTCTCCTTTGCTGTGCTTGGTCATAGTCGGGTTGAAGTTCTTGTCTAGTTCGTTCTGGATCTGCTGGCTGATCATTCAATTCGGGATTATTTGGCGGATGTTCTTGAAGATTACAAGGTTGTGGGTCAGGTTGACATCGCACGGCCGCTTTTGGAATTCTTGGGATGTCGAAAGATTCTGTCGGACCAAATCTCACCCTCTTATCTGGCTTCTGCACAAGTGTTGATTTCAACTGGTTGACGTGTCTTTTTATCATTCTTCCCGAATCTAGCATAATCTGGTAATGGTATTTCCCTAATTTCTTTTTGACTTCCCCAAATTGCCATACATTCTTGTTTGCTATGAAAAGTCGTACTTGCACTCTTTCCCCCTCTTGAAAAGAACGCGACGGATTCTCATTTTCCTATGGAGGTACAATTCCGCTGGTGTTTTCTGGTTGTTTAATGGCGTTGCCCTGTACCTGAAAAGAATTTCTTGCACTTTCATGCGGATTGATCCTGGTTCGTTGATCATTGCCGCTAATCGTTTCTTGAGTATTTGCACGTTTCTCTCTGCTAATCCGTTTGTAGCAGGGTGTCCTGGAGCGATAAATTTACAGAAGATGCCTGATTTCTTGCAAAATTGTTGAAATTCTTCGCTGGTGAAGATTGTAGCATTATCAGAGACCATAACGTCTGGAAATCCGTGCCTTGAAAAAGTTTCTTGAAGTAATTTTATTGTTGATGACGAAGTCGGAGCTGTTAAGCATGGTTCGATCTCCGCCCATTTAGATTTAGCATCGATAATAACTAAAAAATAGTGATTTTGATATGGACCTGCGTAATCGATGTGAATCCTTCCCCAATTTTCTTCTGGAGGGTCTCACGGATGAAGTGGTGCTTTCGGAGGATTTGACTGGTTTAGTGCACAACTTTCGCATCCTTTCACCAATCTTTCTATGTCACGGTCAATGCTAGGCCAATACACATAACGTCGTGCAAGCTGTTTCGTCTTTGTGATTCCCAAGTGTGTTTCGTGAAGTTCGTTGAGTATGTGAGAACGTAGTGAACTTGGAATTAAGACTCTGTCTTTTCGGAAAAGTATACCATCCAGCAGTGTATATTCGGAATCTTCGGCCTGGTTTCTGAGCTTGTGAAGAATTTTTCTGAGTTCTGGATCTTTTTCGGTTTCATTCTTGATTGTCAGAGAAGTTACTTTTTCACTTGAAATCTGGAAAATTAGTTGAGCAAATATTTGATTTACTTCTTCGCCAATAAGTTCATCACTTGACGTCCCCTTTTTTTGAACTGGAATCCGGGATAAGCAATCTACATTTTGATTTTCTCTTCCTTTTTTACACTGTACGGCATAATCGAAACCTGAGAGGAAGGAAGCGTATCGAAGTAATCGTGACGAAGTCATTTGCGGGAGGGCTTTATGGGGATGGAGTATCCGTGATAATGGTTCGTTATCAGTAATTAGTAGAAAATGCTTGCCAAACAAATAGTTGTAGAAATGAGTTATTCCAAATATAATGGCAAGTGCTTCTCGGTCTAGCTGACTGTAGTTTCTTTCTGAGGTCGTTAGTGAGCGCGATGCGTACGAAATTGGCCTTTCAGTCCCGTCAGTACTATGACTCAGTACTGCGGCTATCCCTGTTGGACTGGCATCAGTTGTCAAAATCAGTGGTTGATTAGGATCGAACGGGACGAGTACTCGGTTGCTGCAAAGTTCGGATTTTAATTTCAGAAACGCTGATTCGCAGCTTGCTGTCCATTTCCAAGGTTCTCCTTTTCTTAACAGGCATCGAAGTGGATAGGAATTCGTAGAAAAATCTGGGATAAACCGTGAATAGTATGTAACAAGGCCTAGAAATTTTCTGATTTCATCGACATTGGAAGGTCGTGGCATTTCTTGAATGGCGCGCACTTTTGCTGGAGACTTGCTTACCTTGTTAAATTCGATAATATGACCAAGATATTCAATTTTCGTTTCAAAAAATATGCACTTATTCTTGTTAACGTGAAGATCGTACCTCGAAAGTCTTTGCAAACAGGCATCTAAGTTTTGTGTACATTCTTCTACTGTTGTTCCATGTATAATTATGTCGTCAAAATAGGATTCAGTCTTTGGCAGTCCTTTGAGAATCTGAGATAATATTCTGTTGAATTCGGATGGAGCCGTTTTGATGCCAAAACTCAGGCGATGCATTCGATAAGTACCTCGATGGGTTGAAATTGTCTGGATCTTGCTACTTTCTTCATCAACCCTGAGGTGTAGATAGGCTTTATACAGATCCAGTTTACAAAAATAACGGGAATTGCGAAGGCTGTTAAGAACATCGTCAATGCGTCGTATTGGGTGGTTGGCCTGGATCAATTTCACGTTTACTCCGCATTTGTAATCAACGCATAATCGGATGCCACCATCTTGTTTTGGAATTACTACCAGTGGTGAACTCCAATCGCTAGCGGCTACTGGGGAAATTATTCCCTCTGCTTCTAGAGAATCCAGTTCTCTGTCTACTCTTTCTCTGAGTGCATATGGCACATCACGTTCTCTGGTAAATACAGGTTTGATATTTTTTCTGAGGTGGAGATTTACAGTAAATTCTGGAACACATCCTATTTTTTCTCGAAAAATGCTTGCAAACTTCGTTTGAATATCATCTAGCGAACTTACAGCCTGAAGTTGGAAAACTGGAGTGTTGTTTGCTGTATCAAGTTGTTGTAAGTCGATACCTAATCCTCTTATCCATTGACGGCCAAGAAGCGCATCATGACCTTGTGGTACAAGATGGAGTTCGGTCTGGATTTCTTTGCCTAGGTATGAGACTGTAAGGTGAACTTTCCCTTTTGATTGGATTATATTGCCGGAATACGTTCGAAAAGCAACTTGTGACTTCTCAATAGGCACTTTCAAATCTAAACGATTAAAAACATCTTCTGCTAATAATGAAAATTTAGCTCCGGAATCGACTTCAAAACGTTGCGCTTTCCCGTTTAATCTGACTGTAATAATGTACTTATCTGAATCTGCGACCATTTCATACAAGTCCACAATTTCACCTTGTCGAACAAGGGCTTCAACTTTATTAATGCCATAACTGGAACTGGTAGCTTGTTCATGAGAAACTGTGTGTACTGTAGGACTATTATGTAACGCTGAGATCAACGTTGTGATGCAGACTTTTGCGATGTGGCCAACTTTTTTACAGGATTCGCACTTTAATTTCTTTCTGTCAATTCGGCACTTATCTGCCTTGTGGTTATCTCTTCCACATCTAATGCACAAGTTTTCAATTGCAAGTGCTCGGTAGTCAAGTCGGCGTCGTGACTGGTCACTTCTTCGTTCTGGAGTCGGTGATCTGTAATTACCTTTTGAGTGAGAGCGATTTCGAAAATGGTTTCTGGTATTAGTTATTTTATTTGTGTCAATGCTTTGCTGGCTGGTGTCATGGCGCTGTGTTAATTGTTGACTTTCAATTTTTGATGCTTCAAGAGCTGTAGCTTGTGTGAGGATTTCTTCAAATGTATTGACATTAGCTTGTAAGAGTTGCTCACGTAACCAATCATCACGCAGACCCCTGATGAACTGAGCTCTTAGGAACACTCCCGCTACGGATATTACTTTGTCACATTCGCATTTCACCGTAAATTCGCAGTCAGCAAGATCTCTCTGTAGTGAAGCAACGTATTCGGCCACAGTTTGTCGTTCTTTCTGGAAAATATTTAAAAAATAATGCTGCGACACATCGCACTCTTTTTTGGAGTTAGCATTTGTTTGAATGCTTTAACCAAGTCGTTGTACGCCAGTTCTTTGATGGGCTTTTCAGGGCCAAGAAATGCTGTTAGGCTGTTGTAATGGGTTGAACCGATGGAGACACATAAAAGTTGGGCAATTTTCGCTTCATTTGTAACGCCTTTCATTTCGTAATAATTTTCGAATCGTTCCAGATAGCACGAGAATTTTTCATATCGAGGATCGAAATTTTCAAATGGTGCAATACTGGAAAAATTTACAGAAGTATCTGGTTGCCTTCCGGGTTGCAATTGCGTAATAATTTGTGTTATTAAGGCTTGTTGCTGTGTTTGTAGCGTGTCCAAAAGTAGTTTGAGCTGGTCGGCATTCATTTTTCTCTCTCGTCGCCAATATCGTTGTGTATTAACTCTGATCTATTTATTAATCAGGTATTGAAAATGCCTGCACACACCCGTCCATCTTTATTTACTTAACCTATCTGTCCACATCCTCATAGAGCTACAAAATATAGAGAGTCATAACAATTTTGATCACTTCGCTTCATTTACTTCCACCCTTCTCTACTTCCAAATCTGTTATCCGGTGCTATAACTTAAAATGAATAAGTCTCAAAGACATAAATATTGTCTACACTCCACTAAGATCTTTATTAAAGACGTTTGGCATGAGTGATACGAAGATACGTCTCGAAAAAACAACTTTTTGAGATGGCGACTCTCTCAATTCGCCCCAATTTTTTGCGAAATGAAAAACTTTATCACGTAGAGATGATAACTTCTTCCGTTGCAATCTCTACTCGCAACGGATATATTTGATATGAATAATATAATTGGATCATAATCCCTCAAGTTACGTGGGATTAAAAGCAAGTCTAAATGATCTTTCTTGAGTACAAGAAACATGCCGCTTGTTATCCAACAGCTTATATTTACTTTCCAAAAAAAGAACACTATCATGAATAATTCACTCGAAGGAACCAAATTAAGCGAATATATTATTGCTATCGATAAAATTGTTGGTGCAAAAATTATAATGTTTGCTAGAATGTCTAAGAATCGTATACGTATATATCTTTCGGTTGTACAAATCGTTGACCAATTAATTGAGAATCATCCCACACTAGAAGAACCTTTTCGCCAATTCGCCGTCGAATTATGCATCATTATATCTAATATGTGTAGCACCACGCATAATTTCGCATTCCCTCCCACATCTGCAATATAGCTAACACTGTATCTCAACCTTCTAACAAATCTCCGTCTCAATTTTTATCTTGTTCACCACTGAAAGACACTTTTAGTCCCCTCTTAGAACGTCTCATACTTCTCAACTAAATATTGTGTTGCGCGTAGGGTTTGGCAATTAAACAGTTCGTGCCGTATACCAAGTTATTGATGAAGAATGTCGTGGGTACGGATTCGGTTACAATTATTCCCTATAGTATTCGGTTGCTAGTCCACTAATCGTCTACTACTCATTGTCTACTACTAATTCCCTTCAGGTGCGAGACAAAAGTTATATAGTGACAACTATGGTCATGTGACCGGCTATAGTTGCGGAGTAATGGAATGAACTCCTTAATTTTGATTACGTCGATACTTAGCAATCGCGGAAATGCAAATGCAACTCAGCTAAAACTTCGGACTCGCTTTTTACCCAACTACACACACACATGTTGTCGCAGCAACCCCAATAATTAAACAGGATAGTTCACAACACCTGCCCTTGAATTTTTAAAACCCAAATATTAAAAAAAAATAAGAAAAATGTATCTTCTAAACTATAATTGGAACAACGAAACTAGCTGAACATGTTCAACCGCTTAAACCAATTATAGAAAATAATCGACATGAGTTCGTCTTATCCTATGATTATTATTATATACTCCTATATAATTATTTTTAGAAAACTGGAGTAGTGATATAGTGGGGCTCCTAGCTCAATAAATGTGAGCCAGGACCCCATTACTTTTATCGAACGTTTGTCATCATCTTGTCGTCGGGTTCAACTAGCGTCGTGCACACAGCGATCATTCGGTGGGCACATGTCTTAGTAAGAAAATATAGATTTATAAATAAAATATTTAATTGTAGTCCGGTTGGCCGAGAAGACGTTAGATTTAAGCTCTGATTCTCGGAAGGGAGTGTGGGTTCGAATCCCACACCTGACAGATTTTTTACGTTTAAATAAAACACATTTTAATGTTATGTTATTTATTGAGGAAATATAGAATACAGCTATTTGACATAAAAATGTACCAACTGTCATAAGTTATTTGTACGACAGAATATAAGTTTTTACAGATACACCAAGATTTTACTTTAAATGTATTTGTATAGAATGCCGAAAGAGTTGTCCAGTTCTACAAATACTTCATCGGCTGGAAGAAGAACCTTCCATCCAGCACTTTAAACAGAAGGTAAGGATGAGTGGCCCAAACGTTCCAACAAGCTCGAGGAATTGAGGGTTTTTGGTCTTTATGTACAAGTGATTACTCTAAACAAAAAAATACATACAAAAATTTGGGTGGTGTCAAAGAAGTTTTTAAAAACATTCTAAGATGTATGGCAGGAAGGTCTGAGAAAAAGTCATGAACAGTTCTTGGAAACGATTTAGTGGAATTACTAATAAAGGGATTGATCCCGCTGGAAGTCAGTAGTAACTAATGACATTTAACTTTCTATTGAAATATGGAGTTAAACTTTAATTTATTATACTTAATATTGTAAACAACAATTTTTCATGGCTCCATTACCGATGACAATAAAGAAATTACATATCTTCTTCGCACAAATATTCGAAACCACCTCAAATAACGTAAACTGCTTATCTACATTTTTATCCCACAGAAACCTCTTTTCCATCACTCAAGTCGATTTCAGTCTTGTCGAGATTCCAGATAACATACATACCTACATAATCTTTTACCCTCTTTTTCCTTGGGTGTCGAGAATAACATACATACTTTTGATTTTTGTCAAAAACCTACCAATCCCCCCACCGGGAAGGCTTTCCTTTTCAATCTTTTCAACGATATCTGAACTAACGACTACTATCATTATTCCAATCTTAAACCCCAAAAACAAAATTCGATGTATACTCATACCGGTCAATTTCTCGTACTTGTACAATGTCCAAACTCTTAGAAAAATTAAAAACCGGAAACATTTATGGTGTTTAGAAAAAGAACAGCTTTTAAAACCCCACCAAAACGCCTTCACGAAGTTGCGTTCCCCAGCTGACAACATTATTATTATCATCGAATCTGAAATACGTGAGACCTTTGTCATATCGACATGAAGTACCTGTCCACTCGCCATTTCTTAACACTGAAAAAGCCCACTGTATGACCATAATTTTTTACTGAAGAGCTTAGTATGACGCTCTTTTTAATGATAATGAATAACGATTTAATCAATAATATTTTTAGGTACGTCGGATACACGGTAAAGGGCGATTTCTTTGCTGACGATGCAAAAGAAAATGGGCTCTAATCAGTTGCCAATCTCAGTTCTCAGTAGAGGTAGACAATACGAAGTATATCTGTTTCTCGCAAAAAATGGGTAATCCCCTCGGCTCCCTTAACTTTATGGAGTCGATCATGCATATGTTTGCCACAACAAGTTCTTAGAAATGCATTTTGACAAGTGATATAAAGTTCAAAAAGCCCGCGAAAAATTCAAAAATTCAAAATTTGGCCTTGGCTGTGAGCGTCGTTCATACAAGTGAGCATAAACTCCGTGCGAGTCGAGAGCTTCTCAACACCAAAAACCCCCCTAGGGTTTATTCATCCGCATATAGTACAACACAAACGAAACATATAAAACATGAAAGAAAGAGACAACCTCGAGTTGACCGGGTTTCTATAAATGAGTATAGGGTCGCAGTAGGTCATGTAAACGTGCCGCCTCTCCGATTTAATTGTACGGAGATCCGTACTAAATGCCCAAGGACGCATGACAAAGATCACACATGGACCACACACCTGTGTATAACTGATAACTGGTTGCCTAAACGCTTCACGTTTTAAGAAAATAAAACTAATTCATTAAGACAAAAAGAAACAAATATGTCGCAGTTAAACATCGCAGTAAATGTTGAAATTGTTCAGAATTCTGTTCAAGGCACATGTTCACTCTCTTATTATTATTATTATTAGAAAATATTCCACAGGGCAAGCCCCAATTATAGAATATTTAAAAACACAATTGTACAACAAGTTATGGTTTATTAACTTAGATTCTTCTATAATCCAGAGACTTCACCGCATGAAGCGATGCACAAAAGAAATCAACTAAACGTTGGGCGTTATTGGAATATCTGCACATATTAATAAGAGGTGAAAATTTACATACATTAGTTCTAGGATTGGCAAGTAAAATATGTTATAGTGACGCGATGCAAAAGAGTTGGTATTAAAGCACAATTTAGAAAGTATAAATGGACAATCAGTAGAGCCATTTAATATCTTATATACAAATAAAACGTGAGCTCTTTTAACATTGTCCACCAAACTCATTACTGAATCTCGTTGTAACAAATCACCCTGAGGAAAACCTATAATAGGGTATGTACCATCCTCCCGAAAAGAAAGATATTTTAGAAATTTGCGTAATACACGTTCCAAACTCGCAATGTGTACGGCATAGTACGGAAACCAAATGGTGCAACCATATAAGAGTTTACTCCTCACAAATGCATTAAATAAAAGAATTAAAGTACGATTCTCACAAAAATCCTTCGAGTTTCGAATAATAAATCCCAAGGTCGAACAGGCTTGCGCTCTGACGTAATTTACATGTTCTACAAATGACAACTTACAGTCAAAAATAACACTCAAGTCTGAAACAGTAGCAGGCTCCGAAGTACTGTACCATTAACCTCATAATCAAAGTCAATGAGATCTTTCTTTAAGCTATACGTCATAACTACACATTTGTCCTGGTTTATAACTAGCCTGTTATGAAAACATCATCTAATAACTGAATTAAGATTGTTTCGTAAAAGCAAGCAGTCATTATGATCCCGAATTTTACAAAAAAATTTTATGTCATCCGCATACATTAAATAATTAATATTTAACCGAAGATCGATATCGTTGACAAAAAGATTAAACAAAAGAGGTCCCAAAACCGAGCCCTGTGGCACTCCAGAACCAACACAAAATTCATTAGAATTGTATCCATGTATGTATTGTTTTCTCTCATGTGGATAGGAAGTGAATAGTTTAATAAGTCTAGGACAACAACCAAAACTATAAAGTTTGTCGACTAATAGGGTATGATCCAACTTGTCAAACGCCTTCGAAAGATCTAAGTAAATTACGTCAGTCTGACAACCGCCATCAATCGAATCAGCAATAAACTGTGTA